TGCTAAACTAAATCATGACTATCCCAATGCATTCAGGAAAGTCTCGTTTGGATTGGACATTTTTATTAACTTCATTTAGGATGCTGGTAGATAGATTGATTGCAATATCTTTGCTGAAACTGTTGTTCAGTGTGGGTTGGAATGAGCAATATGAGATATGTTTAATGAAGAGCCATATTATGCATTTAATTCTCCTCTCCACTCTCCTCTCTAACATCAAATATGACTTCCCTAGACCCCAACATGACCCCATTACTTAATTCCCAGCATACTAGAATAAGCTGTGTGTTGCAGTTATCTGTGGTTAATATTTTGAACAAATGTTAGCTAAAAAAATCACTTAGAAAGCACACTTGCTTTTTCATTAAAAATAAATTCACAATGTATTAATGTGAAAAATGTTGTGGTCCATACAGTTTGAGTGTAATAAAGCTCTGTTACACCAACCTTCATCTAACATAGCATGATCTCTTCTGAGTATCAGCAAGAATGAAGCCCAGTTATTTTTGACATCTGAATCAAAGAGATAATCTCTTCCTATTTCATGTGCAGATGCTGACCAAATAGATCTTACTTTGATACAAAAAAATAAAGTGTGAGTGTAGGCAGTTGAACTCCCACCATGAAATGAAGAAACCAGACACAAGAAAATGGAGCTAAAGGGCCATTTTCTGACCTATTTATTGAAAGTACTCATAATAACCTGTAAAGGGAAAATCTGTAGACACATACAATGCCATGCGTGAATGGCCACCTAGTGAGCCAAACTTGGCACAAGCACTCAATATTCATTATTGCATATGCCCAACTAAGAACACAGATGGAACTTGGGGAAAATAGACCTTGACATTTGGGGGTTGTAATTACTGGGTACACCTACAATCAAAGAAAATACTTAAGGCCTTCCACTCCAACTCCCTTCGCCAAAGCAAGAAAACATAATAAAATACTGTTTACCCACAAGCATAAAGAAATTACATATATTAGAAACCAAAACTTTCTCATTACTTTATTTTCCAGATCACCAGACTGGGCCACAGCAATGCGTTGCAGGGGACGGCTAATAATAATAATAATAATAATAATAATAATAATAATAATAATAATAATAACTCCTTGCTTCATATCATTCACCCCCTGAAGCTGCAACTTCATCCTGCTGATGCCTAATAATAAAGTCAGTCCTGATAGCAGCCACCCTTCTATAGCTCAGGCATGGAGCTTGGAAAAGTTGCATTTTTTGATCCCAAAAGTACCTTTTTCAAGTTATATTTTTGGGGGCTACTACCTGATCTTTTTGAATCTGTGTTGTCTAGGATTGAGACACATGTCTTCTGCATTAAAAGTGAGTTCCTTGCTACTAACCTATGGGCTTTTGCTTTTAGCACTGTGTAGAATAGAGGAGGTCCCTGCTTGCACAGAACTGTGGAAGTCCTTAATGGAGCTCTGGGATTAAAATGAACATTTTCTGATTTCACACCCATCCCCACAAAGTTTCAGAAGTGAACTTCTGATTTGCTTTCCTGAAGGCTGTTAAAAAGTCACCATTTCTATCAAGCCAGTGAAATTGTTTCTGTCATCACTTGCTGTGGCTGATCTGATAAAATTACAGATGTGGGAAATGTGCAGAAACCAGGAGTTGACAACTACCTTTTGGTTATAATAAGATCTGAGGTTAAAAGTAGCATAACTGGAGTTGGATGACCATTTCCTATCATGTTCTGGCCCCTGTTAAAAGTGGGAGAAAGTATAAAAATACTTCAAATAGCAAGCTGGAGTAACATTTAGTCATGTGATTTCTCACCACCCATAGAAGTGTCAGGAGTGTCTGATACTGGTTGAACATTGCATTGACAAGAGGACTACTTAGCCTTTTCTCATTCTATTTGTCTGCTTAAAGTCAGCACAGCTATATCTTCATTCTGACATAAGGTCTTAGGGACTTTCCACACAGCCATATAACCCATAATATCAAGGCAGACAACCTCTGAGGATGCTTGCCATAGATGCAGGCGAAACGTCAGGAGAGAATGCCTCTAGAACATGGCCATATAGCCCAAAAAAACCTACAACAACCCAGTGATTCCAGCCATGAAAGCCTTCAACAATAAATCCACACACTCTTTTGAAAACAAAATATTTGTATGCAAAGGAATTGTTCACAACATAATCCTTAAATCTGAAAGATCACTGAAAATTGCAAAGATGTTTACAGTATTTCACCAAATCTAAGATGCCATTGAATGTAAAGTGCACTCCATTTTTGAAGATTCGATATTGAGGAAAATGTTTTTATTTTTTCTTTTAGAATTTCCTCTGCATGCTCAATACCGTGTTTTTGCTTCAATACGGCTTTGTAGTTCAAAGTGGGGTAAGGAGGGAGTTTGAAAAAAACCCAAAATCATCATGTCTTCATAAGACTATTTTACTAAGCCCATGGGCCCATTGGAGAGGCAACGGAAGCAGGAAGGTGTAGACAAAAACTTTAGTGAATAGTATCTGAAGAAGTTGGGAACTGAAGTTGGTACTTTCTGTTTTAAGAATGAGTTGTACCGCTTACCTAGGTACCCAATACAATACATTAGCATGGTGCAAAACTGTCACCCTCCAAATATGTTAACATAGCCAGCACAGCCAATGATAAAGAATTGTGAAAGATGCAGTTCAAAAACATATTGTAAATGAGTGCTGCCCACCCTTGCTTTAAATGAAAGCAACATGGAAGCACCACATCATATGGATCTTTGTCTCTAGAGCCCCATCTACACTGCCATATAAAAACTAGATTATCTGCTTTGAACTGGATTATATGGCAATGTTCTCATATAATGCAGTCCAAATTAGATAATGTGGATTATCTGCTTTGAAGAAAAAGCTCAAGAAATAGTTTTTGGGTCCAGGAATTTGGGCAGCAGGCCTAACAGCAGTTGCAATGTTATATTTGAATTGATAATGCACAGGCTTTGGATTGGGTCTCTCAACTGAACTTGGATGCAGTTATACTGTTATTGTAATAATAATGTTTTAAATGGTTATTTTATAATTTAATGTTGAATCTGTGTTATATCGTTACGGTGTATATGTTGGCATCAAATTGCTGCTGATTGTAAGCCGCCCTGAGTTCCCCCTCAAGAGTTGAGAAGGACCGGGTACAAATGCTTGAAATAAATAAATAAATGGCAGCGTAGATCCAGTCTAAGATCCATCTTAATAGGTTATTATTTGTGTTTTAGACCTTCTTGGCTGTACATGTACATTTAGCCTCTTTGTGTGGGTCAGATTTAGTCACATGAACATGCAAATGCAGTGGTGACCTACAGAAGTGTTCGGAATTACTCAGCTTCCCTTTTCCAACATCAACTTCTCTACACTGAAAAATATTTTGAAAGAGTCATGTAAACTACAGTAAATTTCACTGATAGAGGTAGGAATACAGTTTAACTTATGGTACAATCCTGTCCATGTCTACTGAATTCAGTGAAACTTATTGTAATATAAGTTTGTGTTGTTCTTGTCTTGATCCTGAATTAGTTCAGAGGGCTTTGCTTTTGTCTCCTTCTAAAGCTGAAAGGGTGTGACTAGCCCAGGCTGTACAGGGATTCAAATCTTAGTCTTCCAGTATCCTAGTCCAACACCTAGACCACTACACCACACTGGCTCTCATAAGTATATACCGCATTTTCCAGCATATAAGACGACTGAGTGCATAAGACAACCCCCAACATTTCCAGTTAAAATATAGAGTTTGGGATATACTCGCCGTATAAGACTACCCCTCTTCCAATGCACACCAAATAAAAAATTAAAAAGCATCAGATTTGATTTCATTATGGTAATTTTCCTATTACTGTACCTCCTTCTCTGCCTCTCAGATCTCGCACATGGGCACCTGCACCGCTTCACTGCAATCTTCAGGAGTGAGATCTGAGAGGTAGAGGAGGAGGTACGGTAATGGGATACAAGGGCAGGCCAGACAGGTAAAAGAGGTGTGTTTTTCTGGGCTCAGAGCCACTCTATCTCTTTTTTCCATACCCCGGGCTCCCCAGATGCCTGCAGCTTGCTCCACCCTTCACTTACACCTTCCCGGTGAGGTGCCCCTTCACCTCACCATCAGGACTGCATTAAGTCCACGAATCCTGATGAATGGATTTTCTTCTACCATACTTGTACAGCGTCACCCTTAATACTTTCATACAGTCACTGCATATGGCAGGGACGTGGCCACTGCCATTTTTGAGCTCCCCCCACAATATGCAGCAACCACAGATTCTCTAATCTGGATTGGAAGTTTCAGCACTTGCTGTATAAGACGACTTTCGGCATATAAGACTACTCCCGTGTATAAGACGACTCCCATGTATAAAACGATCCCTGACTTTTGAGAAGATTTTCTTGGTTTAAAAAGTAGTCTTATGCGCTAGAAAATATGGTATATAAAAACCTAAATCTCCATTTTTGAAAAGAATATTCCTTTCTTGACCCATGGCAGTAGCTGACAGCATCCGATTCATTCCTGGTTGTTTAAAACAGTGACTTAATGAAGATGCTGTGAGTCAGCGGATCCATTCCTCAGATCTTCCCTCAGCTACAGACTTACTCAGCTGGCTTAGATCAGTCACTATATCTCATGATGAGTCTACTATATCAGCTATGTGATCATAGTAGTTATTTAGATTCAGGGCATTACTGAATGGGGGCACATGAGGTTTTAGCTTCAATTCTTTTTCCCAGGACATTGGATGTCTACCTACATAAAATTGTCATATATTTCCCCCCCCTACTTTCCTATTTCACAGTGTTCTCCCTCTTTCCTTGTACAATTCTTTCTATGTTTATAAAATGTAATAAAAATATTTTAAAATTGTCATATATTAGCATATACAACTTTATGCAACTTATTCTGTTTATTTGGGCTTCAGATCTCTTAAATGCCTAGCAGTGCCTGTGGAGACACATATATATTGTTATGTATTCTGATTACATATCTCTACTGATTGCAGAATATGATATTGTGACAGCATATGAAGTCGACCAAAAGGGGGATTATGTAAGTCATGCAGTTGCACATCATGAAAGGAGAAAGAGGTCAACATCAGAAGGAAAGAAGGACTCACTGCACCTCCGCTTCCATGGGTTTGGCCATGACTTCCATCTTGACCTAAAGACTTCTGATTTTCTTGTGGCTCCTGGATTTACAATACAGACACTGGGCAAGGGAAGAACCAGCTCAATACATACATACCCAGAAGAAGACTTTTGCTTTTATCAAGGAGTCTTGCGATTGCACAAAAACTCATCAGTAGCACTTTCAACATGTGGAGGTTTGGTAAGTAGAGATTCAACCAGTACTAAAACATTCTACATAAAGGCACCCACACAATGTGATAGATCAATATGTAAATCAGTGCTGTCCACTCTTGCTTTAAATGAAAGCAGCATGGGTGTACCACATCATATGGATCTTTGTCTCTAGGGCCCCATCTACACTGCCATATAAAATCTAGATTAGCTGCTTTGAGCTGGATTATATTGCAATGTTCTCATATAATGCAGTCCAAATTATGGATTATCTGCTTTGATAATCTGTACTATATGGCAGTGTAGATCCAGCCTAAGATCCATCTTAATAGGTTATTATTTGTGTTGTAGACCTTCTTGGCCATACATGTACATTTAGCCTCTTTGTGTGGGCAGATTTAGTCACATGAACATGCATATGCAGTGGTGACTTGTGCGATTGCACAAAAAGTCATCAATAGCACTTTCAATGCGTGGAGGTTTGGTATGTAGAGATCCAACCAATACTATAGCATTCTACATAAAGGCACCCACACAATGTGAAAGAGAAACAAGGGGGAGACAATGTGGTATTAATTATTAGAGTAAAATTCAAGTTGGATGTAAAAGTTGTTGTTCAGATAGAATATCTATTGAAGGATATGTCTTATTCTAACTAGGATTAACTATAGGATTAAAGGTCCTTGTTAGAGGGTTTGTTAATATTTCAGGAATCCTACTGAGAACTTCCATAATCATAAATGGACTTATATCTGCCAGAATTATTTATTTATTTGTTTATTTCGAGCGCTTCTACCCCGCCCTTCTCAACCCCCTAGGGGGGACTCAGGGCGGCTTACAAAAGGCACAATTCGATGCCTAACAGTTCACAAAATACAATATACAAAATACAATATAACAACAACAATTATAACTAGTTAAAATGATCAAATTAATACAATAGCAGCAATAAAATCATCTTGTGGTCAGCGTTCGCCAATTCATAAATCCATAGTCCATCCAGCATTATCATAGTCCTTTCCTACTCTGGTCATCATTGTCCTTTATCCATCTGCCAGCTTACCCAAAGGCCTGGTCCCATATCCAGGTTTTTAACTTCCTTCTGAAAGAGAGGAGGGATGTTGATGACGTAATTTCCCTGGGGAGTGAATTCCACAGGCGAGGGGCCACCACCGAGAAGGCCTTGTCCCTCGTCCCCACCAGTCTCACTTTTGATAATTAGAACTTGACAACTCCATAATATCTGTATTCAGAAAGGGCCCGCAATTACATTACTATGTATGGGAACTGGCAAAGTAGCTGATGCACAATGGAACCAATACAGTCTCATTGGGAGCAAAGTACATCAATCCTGTTGTACATTGGAACACCAGCCAGGGAGTATCCATGTACATCAGTAGAGCCCAATGTGCATTGGGATATGTCCTGGTGTCCTGTTACACAGCTTTTCAATTCACTTACATAGACTGAATCTATACTACCAAATAATGTATTGAACTGCATAATATGGTCAATGTAGACTCACTTAATGCAGTTTGAACTGCATTATATGGGTATACTGACCATATAATGCAGTTGAATCCGAACTATTTGGCCGTGTAGATTGAGCCTGGGTTTCTTAGTGCTCTGCTATGTATCTAAATACAATATACATAAAGTAACTGATGTGAACTGTGAAAGATGATTCTGATCAATGTGCCAAACCTTACATTTCTATATAAGTCTGTGCTCCATGAAAAAGGCAGTCATGTGAAACATGAGAAGTTGGACATTTAAATGATTATATACATCAAACGTTTTAAACAGAGGGCCAGGTCACAGTCCCTCAAACTGTTGGAGGGCCAGATTATAATTTGAAAGAAACATGAATTGCTATGCACACTGCACATATTTGGAGTGGGAAAAAACTCTTAAAAACAATACAATAATGAAAATGAAGAACAATATTAACATATATATAAACTTACTAGCTGTGCCCTGCCACGCGTTGCTGTGGCCTTTAGTAAGAGTTTTGAAGTCTCTGCCTGGCCTCTCTTCCTTCCTTCCCTCGCTCTCTTTCCCTCTTTCTCTCTCTCACACTCCTTCCTTTCCCTTCTTTCTCTCTCTCTCTCTCTTTCTCTCTCTGGCATCCCTCCTTCCTCACCCTTCTTTATGCTTGTGTGTAAACTTGAGTATTTTCTGTTGGTCATGGCATTTCTGTCATTTGTGGCTTTCAGAATGCTCTTTAATTGTAGTAAACTATAAATCCCAGTAACTACAAATCCCAAATGTCAAGGTCTATTTCCTCCAAGCTCCATCTGCATCATATTTAGGCATATGGAATTTTTGTGTCAAGTTTGGTCCAGATCCATCATTGTTTGAGTCCACAGTGCTCTCTGGATGTAGGTGAACTACAACTCCCATGCTCAAGGTCACGGAGGGAAGGGGTGGGGCGAAGGGAGGGGGCGTGTCTTTCCAGAGAGGGAGGGAGGAGGGAAGGAGTGAGTCAGGGAGGGAAGGGGTGGGGCGAAGGGAGGGGGCGTGTCTTTCCAGACACGCCCCCTCCCTTCGCCCCACCCCTTCCCTCCCTGACTCACTCCTTCCCTCCTCCCTCCCTCTCCGGTTAGACACGCCCCCTCCCTTCGCCCCACCCCTTTCCTTCCAGGAGTGAAAGGGGTGGGGCGAAGGGAGGGGGCGTGTCTTTCCGGAGGGGGTGGGAGGAGGGAAGGAGTGACTCAGGGAGGGAAGGGGTGGGGAGAAGGGAGGGGGCGACTTTGAAGACACGCCCCCTCCCTTCGCCCCACCCCTTTCCTCCGTGACTCACTCCTTCCCTCCTCCCTCCCTCTCCGGTTAGACACGCCCCCTCCCTTCGCCCCACCCCTTTCCTCCGTGACTCACTCCTTCCCTCCTCCCTCCCCTCCATGACTTACTCCTTCCCTCCTCCCACCACCTCTGGAAAGACACGCCGGAAAGGAGTAAGTCACGGAGGAAAGGGGTGGGGCGAAGGGAGGGGGCGTGTCTTCAAAGTCGCCCCCTCCCTTCGCCCCCACCCCTTCCCTCCCTGACTCACTCCTTCCCTCCTCCCTCCCCCCTGACTTTGAAGACACGCACCCTCCCTTCGCCCCACCCCTTTCCTCCGTGACTTACTCCTTTCCGGCGTGTCTTTCCAGAGGTGGTGGGAGGAGGGAAGGAGTAAGTCACGGAGGGAAGGGGTGGGGCGAAGGGAGGGGGCGTGTCTTTCCGGAGGGGATGCGGCGCGGCGAGGCTTGGAGTGTGCAGAGCGGGGCTTGGAGGCAGCGGGGGGAGATGAAGGAGGGGGTGGAGGGAAGGGGGCCGGGGGAAGTTGCGTTGTTTGTGTGTGTGTGTGCGTGTGGGCGGCGACGTGTTCGTGCTGGGCGGGGCGAGGGAGGGAGGGAAGTGCGGAGGGTGCGTTGGCCGTTCGGCCATGTGTGCGCGCGCGCTGGGGACTTTGCTCCAGTGCGCATGCTCAGTTGTTTTGGCGATTTATCTGTGTGTTGTTGTGTTGTTTTCAATTCTGAGTGGATTAGTTTGTACTGAGTGGGTTGTCCTTGGGGCATGGCAATTTTGGTGCAGTTTCGTTGGGGGGTTGTGGAGTTTTGTTGTCCGGTTGAACCAACCTAACAGATTTATATATATAGATTAGTATTACAAAGGGAAGTGTGGACCTGCTTTTGAATGATGAGATAGGATTGTTGTTGTTGTTGTTGTTGTTGTGTGTTTTCAAGTCATTTCAGACTTAAGTTGACCCTGAGTGAGGGCTGGGTAAATGACCTCGGAGGGCAGTATCCGGCCCTTGGGCCTTAGTTTGAGGACCCCTGATATACATCATGCAGTGGCTGAGATATGTGTATGTTCATGGTTCAACTTTTTTAAAAAAGGCCTTGTGCCAGTATCTGGCACTCCACAGCTTCACCTGGCTTGCAATGCTTCTTGATATGCCCATAAGGCATTAACTTTAAAGAAAATTAAAAGGAATATTTTCACTTTAAAAGGATGACATGTTATGCAAGCACCAGCATTTCAGAAGGAGCTTTCCTGGTCAGCTCCCTTCCAGATATAATATTGTACCATTGGCCTTCCAAGAATAGTTTCAAAGGCTGAAATGTGTAGAGATTTTTTTAAAAAAATAAAAAAATAAAAGCAGGAGTATATACATCTTTTGCTGTATCCCCACTAGGAAGGGGTAGGGATAAAATGAGAACATAAGAATTCTGGATACAAAGAATTTACAAAGTCTCGCTCTCTGCAAAGCTAGAAATTTGAGGTCAATTTAATTTAAGCAGGTATGATTTTTATTCCGGTCCTTAGTTATACCTCTGTTCTCATGTTCATAACAATATGATTTTATTGATGAGACGTTGAGGACTTGTGCTTGATAGTTTTTATTGTTTTATTGCTTTTATGTGGTTTATATTATATGTAATGTTTTTAACTGTATTTTATGTTGTTGGGAGCATTGACTGCTGACTGTAAACCACCTTGAGTCACCTCCGGGTTGAGAGGGGCAGTATACAAATATAGTAAACTAAATATAGTAAAGTAAATATATTCCCCTGCCACGTGTTGCTGTGACTCAGTCTGTGTATATGTGTTTTGTGTGTGTATATATGTTTATATGTGTGTATATATTTGTGTATATGTGTGTTTGCGTATGTGTGTGTGTGTTTGTGCATGCATTGTAATGGTTTTTTATGTTTTGGCTTTTAAAGTATCTTCCGCTGTTTTTTTCGGTGTTGTTATGATTGATGGTCACTTGTTGGCCTGATAGGTGTCTTGTGTCCAAATTTGGTGTCAATTCATCCAGTGGTTTTTTAGTTATGTTAATCCCACAAATGAACATTACATTTTTATTTTTATAGAAGACTAGAAATTCCAAATGTCAAGGGCTATTTCCCCCAAATTCCATCTGTTTTCATATTTGGGTATATGGAATATTCGTGCCAAATTTGGTCTAGATCCCTCATTGTTTGAGTCCACAGTGCTCTCTGGATGTAGGTGAACTACAACTCCCAAACTCAAGGTCAATGC